CAGAGTCACTTGTAGGTTTAAACTGACCTCCTTTAGGTTAGAAGCACAATTCCCTATAAACAAGTCACCAGAGTTCCCTAGGAGATGGAAAAGTCCCTAGAATAGATATAATATTTTTTTTTCAAAGTATGAAGAATGAATTGGCAAGGATCACTTTCCTCCACACTAAGCCTCACTGTATCGTTCATAGGTTGAAGTTTTCAATTATTTCATTTTATTTGGATCCACAATCAGCACTAAAGTAGCAACTGTCAAGAACTCAAAGCCATGGTACTTTGGGGGAAGAGATGCTGTTGAAGACCTCTCCAAAGTGCAAAAGAGCAATGACATCAAGTTAAAGACTTGCTTCTTGTGCTTCTGAAAGAGAGAAAATGAATAATGACAACACAAAAATAACTGATGATCACCCCAGTAAGAATAGCAAAATTTAACAGAGCAACACACAACAAATGCTGGTGAGGTTGCAGAGAAATTGGAACCCTTATTCACTGTTGGTGAAAGTGTAAAATGGTGTAACCCCTATGGAAGGCTGTATGGTGCTCTCTCAAAAAGTTGCAAATAGAAATACCATTTGACCCAGCAATTCCACTACTGGAAATATACCCTACAGAGACCATAACTGCCACCTAGGCAGATATATGCACATCTATGTTTATTGTGGCTTTGTTCACAATAGAAAAGAGTTGGAAACAACCAGGTGCCCATAGGCAAACAAATGGATAGAGAAGCTGTGGTACATTCACATAATGGAATACTATGCTACATTGAAAAACAAGGAACTGGTGCAACATTATTCAAAATGGGTGACCTTGAAGGACATTATGGTGAGTGAAATATCTCAGTCACAAAACCACAGGTGCTGCATGGTGCCGCTATTGTAGAACGGGACTGACATCAGGGTTGAGGCGACACTGAGAAAAATTGGATAAATTATGTATACTGTATTAAAACAGATGAGGGAGAGAACTGTTTGAAAGCAATACATAATTGGGTATTATGATTATGACAAGAGTCCAGAATGAAGGTTGCATAGGGGAGTGTGCTCAGGGAGGGGAGGGTATTCTATACCAATGAAATAATTTTTCTTTTACTTTTTAAAGAGAAGAGTGAACTGGCGGGAGGGGTGGGCAAGGAGAAAAATACAACAATGAATGTTTGGAAATCCACAATCTCTGTAAACATTCATTAAAATTAATTCTAAAATTATTTCTAAAAATAAATAATATATTTCACCAAAAAAATAATAATTAATGGCTTTGAACTGTGATGTTGAAGAATACTGAATATCCTGTGGACTGCTTTAAGGACAAAGAAGTGTGTATTGGAGAAAAGGCAGCCAAGGTGCTCCTTAAAGGCGAGGCTGGTGAAATTTCATTTCACAGATTTTGGGCATATTGTCAGGAGAGGAAAGTAGTTAGATAAAGGCATCATGCTTGGAAACGTGGAAGGTCAGAGGAAGACGTTCAACAAGATAGATTGACATGGTGACTGTAATAAAAACTTTAGTCTTTGAATCAAAGCATGTAAAGATGGCACAGGATCGGGGCAAGGTTCGTATCTGTTGATTGCTAGGTTCTGAGTTATAGTCAGCTCAACAGCACCTAACAATCACAACATATCGTTCATATACTTCCTGCTGTCAAGTGAGTGCCAGCTCATAGTGACCCATGATTGGGTTTCTGAGGCTGTAAATCTTTATGGGAGGAGACTGCTCATCTATCTCTCAGAGGGCAAATGGTGGATTCCAACTGTTGAGCTTTCGGTTAGCAGTCCTGTACATTATACACCATGCCACCAGGATCTCTCTATAGTTACGGTAATGAAGACAAGTGGTTCTGAGCATGGAATTAGATGGTGATTGGCCCTCATTACTGACCATTCTGACCAGGATTACAGTAGGCAACTCCAGATAGAATATGAGAAAATACAGCACAAAACTGCAATGCTTGTTAAAAGCCAGACCAAACTGGACCAGTTGACATCAGAGGACTCTCTGAGGCTTTGCTATAATACACTCTAAACTTACACCAAAACTACCACCAAAAGTCATCTTTTAATGAAACAACAGAGTAGTATTCCATTTTCAATCATTTCCTATGCATCTGAAAGTTATACAATGAATAGGGAAGATCAAAGAAAACTTGATGCCTTTGAACTGTGATGTTGGTGAAGAGTGCTGAGTACATGGACCGCCAAAAGGACAAGCAAATCTGAGAAGTGCAACCAGGCAGCTCCTTAGAAAAAAGAACGATGAAACTTCATCTCATAGACTTTGGACAGGTTTTCAGGAGAGACCAGTCCTTGGGAAAAGCCATCATAATGGAAAAGGTCAACAAAGGGGAAGGTGACCCTCAATAAGATGAATTGGCATAGAGACTGTGCCAATGAACTTAATTAAAAAAGTAATGCCAAACCAATAACACAGTTGAATGTGAAATGTAGAATTGAAAGGGGGATTTTCTTGGGGGCCGGGGTGGAGGGGTAAAGACCCACAAATTAAAAATGTAAAAGAAAATTTTGAACCAAAGGAAAAAATAAATAGATCATTATAAAAACTGAAAACTTTTCCTCTGGTAGAAACCTCATTACGAGGATGAAAAGACAATGTAGAGTCTATGAGACAATATTTGTAAATCATATGTCTTCCACATCAGAAAACCAAGGTTTAAAGACATAAAGTGTTTCCCCAAGATCACAAGGCAAGCCACCTTAATTCTACTCATTGTGTAAGGTGAAGACCCTGAGAATGGAGTAGAATGGCTCAGTTTTGATCTGCTATTTATACAGTTGCTATGAGTAGTATTCGACTCAATGGAATCTAACAACCTTTAACTCAGTGTTGTCTTAAAAACCATCTACATGAGAACAAAAACTTAACACTTATTCTAAAGCAGATATGAGAAGGGGCAGGGAAAATAGATTATTGTAAATGTCATAACCAGCACATACTTAAAGAGATCATTGACACATTTTGAAAATATTGTTGTTGTTTGTTGTTTAATGTCATCGAGTCGTAGTCGACTCATAGCGACCCTATGAATGAACAGCCTGAGCACTGTTCGTACATAGAGTTTCCTGAGGCAAGCCATTTTGGAAGTGGATGCCGCTCCTGCTTCCAGGCTTGATTTCGTCGGGAAGCTCCAGCCAACACTGTCCACCATGGGTGCCCATTACCACGATTGGCACATCACTGTCACAGGCTTCAGCATCACAGCAACCACAAGTTACCTCTGTATAGCAACACACTATAACAAAAAAATTACATAGAAATTGTCAAATCAGAACATAAGTTACTATGTAAACTCTCACAAAAAAAAAACCCTACCAGAACCAAAAACATAAAACAACCCAAAACAAACAACCTAACCATTTCCTTTCAGCTAATTTAAGTTCAAAGCAATCCTTTAGGACAGAACAGCCCTGCTCCATGGGGTTTCCAATCTTTGTGGAAGGACACTGCTTCATCCTTCTCCCATGGAGCAGCTGGTGGGAGCAAATAAACCCACCTTCTGTTTAGCAGTTGATTGCTTTAACGACTCCACTACTAATTCACCAAAACCACAATAAATTCCTGTACATAATATGTATAAACTAATTATATTGTATATCAATAATATATAATATGTAATGATACTGATTCTTTAATGCATGTTAATGTAAAAAGTACATACTATATAATCATTAGAGGCAAGAATGGCGACATACTTTGGGCATGTTGTTAAGAGGGACCATTCCTTAGAGAGGGAGATCCTTAATGAGATGGATTGACACAGTGACTGCAGCAATGGGCTCATATATGTCAGAGATGCTAAGGATGGTAGAGGATAGGACAAGGTTCAGAACCATTGTTCATAGGGTTGCTATGAGTAATTCTCAACTTGATGGTATCTAACAATATTAATTAAAGGGAACCTGGGGACCTCGGAGTAAGGAGTTCACTGCCAGCCCAATGGCAGACAGTTTGTATCCAGCAGCTGTTCCATGGGAGAAAGATGCACAGTCCCCTCCCCCATAATTGGCAGCTTCTGAAAACCAGGGGGTCAGCTATGAGTTGGCTCCATGTAGACAGCACACCCCAACAGCAATACTAATAAAGATACTTTGGTATTAACAATAGTATAGACATAAATCAGTGGAAAGAACAAGAGAACCCAGCAAAGGTTCTTGAACTTTTACAAATATACGTATCTAAATTTTGACAAAGGCAAATAAACAATTCAGTGCTGAAATAAATGGTTATGCACACCGAAAACAACCTTTAGCCTACCTAGTTCTCACATCTAATTAAAAAATTAACACAGTTGAATATGAAATGTAGAACTATGAGCTTTTTGAGGGGAAAGACCCAGAAAATAAAAATATAGAAGAAAACCTCGAACAAAAAGAAAAAAATTGATAAATTGGTCATTATCAAAATTGAAAACATTTCCTCTGGTAAAAACCTCATTATGAGGATGTAAATACAATATAGAGACCAGAAGACAATATTTGTAAATCACATGTCTTCCACATCAGAAACCAAGGCTTAAAGACAAAGTATTTTCCTAAGATCACAAGTCAAACCACCTTAATTCCACTCACTGTAACTGCTTCCAAGGGAGTTTTTAGTTTCTACTGTTTAAAGAACCTGGATTCTACACCATCATATCTCATTCCCAGACAGGAGGCAAAAGAGCTAAAGACAGGATCACATTGACAGACAACCTTCAAGCCTATTCCCCACGTACTTTTGGAAGGTGCAACTCTGTGTTTGGAAAAGTATATTCTTTTTTAAAATTTATTTTATTATTATTATTTGTGTATGTGTGTGTGTGTACCTTCAAATCAGATCTGACAGGTACAGGAGGAGATTGCCCCTCCTTCTCCAGCAGAGCATCTGGTGGATTCAGACCACACGCCTCTGGGATTGCAGTTCACCTTCTTGCCATTAGGCCGCCAGAGATCCCTGAGAAAGGTTATTCTAACTGAAGTGGCAACTGTACCCCTTTTTTCTCTCACAGCTCTACAGAAAGGCTCAGATCTGGAGAAGGCCATGGCCACCATAGCCTTGATTTTCAGAAACTCTTCTGATCCTGATGGTAAACTTAGAAAAGCTACTGCCAAAAATCTGCTTCACACCCAGTTTGGAAATTTCACCGAGGTAAGGAGATTAACATGCATGAAGAAAGAGGAGTCACTCTACATGGTTGGTGGGAAGAGCCAACAACATCAGATTGAGGCCACCTCCATGTGGCTTTGCAAATGTTGATTGACTCCTAGGGTGAACTTGTCATGACTTCTCACTTCACTCCACCTCATGCATACCTGCTTCTTTTCTTCTTAACCTATGGCAAGGGAGAAAGGGAGCTCTGGTGGCCTAGTGGGAAGAAGCTATGCTGCAGTCCCAAAGGCATACAGTTCCATTCTACCAGCTGCTCCATGGGAGAAGGATGGGCAATCTCCTCCCACACAGTTAAGTGCTTCTGAAAATCCACTGGAAGGTCAGCTATGGGTAGGTTCTGACTTGATGGCACACAATAACTACGGCAATAGGACCACCACCCATTTTCATTGTTGTTTCCTTTGGTTCTTCAGCTTTCACAAGTCAGGCAATGGTCAGATTCTGTTGAAGCTCACTTACAAGCATCTCTTTTATGTATTCAGTCCTCCCCATTTTCACCACCCTGCTCCCCGGTATCAACAGCTTCAGTGTGAATCACTGCCACACAGTCACTTCCTCCTCCTCTGTCCTCTGTCTGTCCTAGTCTGTTGTCTACTCAACAGCTGGTCTGATCTGTTAGTAGTGGATTTAGAAAGGATCTGTGACTTCCTCTTGTCTTCAGGTTGTGCCTCTGTAAGATTTGGCTTCTTCCCACCTCCCCAACCTCATCTCTCAACTGTCACTTTCCCTTCCTCCAAGTCAGTCCTGACCTCCCAGGTCTTTGACCTGCCTCCCGGCCTTTGTACATGTCTTTTCTTCTGCATGAAACTGCCATTGTCCACACCTGTAGCTTCTTGCATCCTGCTACTTTCCCACTCATTCTTTAGATCTCCACCTATCATTTCATTTCCTAGGGGCCCTTCTTAGATCATCCCCCAGGAAAGCCTCTCAGTTCTACTTCACCTACTTTCTTAAAGCACTTTGAATATTTTTTTACTACTTCTTACTTACTTGTTTACTCTGTTAGATTGCTAGTTGTTCCTTGTACTGACCCCAGAAGCCTAGGACTCAATTGTTGTTGCTGTTGTTGTCATTGAGTTGTAAGCGACTCATAGCAACCCTGTGAACAAAAGTCTTCGACACTTGCGTGGCTTTTATCCTTTCTCCAGGTTCATAGGGTTTCCTGAGGCAAGCTATTTATGGAAGTGGATGCCACTCCTGCTTCCAAGCTTGTGTTAATCAGGGAGTGCCACCAAACACTGTCCACCATGGGTAACCATTATCGCATTTGACATGTCTGTGTCACAGTGTTCAGCTTCACAGTGACCACAAGTTACCTCTGTCCAGCATGTGGACACACCAGGGCTACATGACCTAGAAGAATGTATCATCAAAAGCTACTGCCTGGAGCAAGCTCTGCAGGCTCCGCCCTTACTTCCCCTTGGTTTAAGGCTCTGGGCTGCCCACCCACTTTTGAAGGGTAAAAAGCTCGGTAACACACAGCAAAAAGGACCCCAGAAACTTCACTTGTCTTGACTGCCACCAAGTCAAGAAGCCATCGAGATGTCAGCCATCCCGCCAATCAGCCAGCTGACTTCCAGAGTGGAGCAGGGCTCAATTATGTTTGATATTTCCCTCATATTCACCTATCACCCCCCCAAAAATGGAATTTTTTTTAATGTTAAACTTATTTTAAAAGAATTACCAGGTAATGTAGCAGGTGAAAGAAGAAAGCTATGAGTTAGAATTCTTTTTAATATCTAATGTTATATCATAGGTCTTTGATGGCACTGTGGTTAAATCAATTAAGTTGATTAAAAAGGTTGACAGTTGAAACCCACTAGCTGATCTGTGGGAGAAAGATGTAGTAGTCTAGTCCAGGGAAGATTCTAGCCTTGGAAACCCCATAGAGCAATTCCACTCTTGTCCTGTGGGGTCTGAATGAGTCAGATGGACCCATGGGCAGTGGCGGTTCTTGTAGTACTTTACTTGTGTTATATTCTATCAGCAGTGTGTGATCATGCTTTTGGAGACACTAGAGCAAATATATAAAAAGAAAAGAGAGCCTCACACAGAGTTTAAATTACTAATATTGATTGGTAAAGTAGAGAAAGAAAAAATTAAAGGTCTATGTTCAAAGAAAGAAAGCTTTGTAGTTCTATTTTTAAAAGTATTTGGGTGTGTGTGTGTTTAGTACTCACCCTCACTCATTGCCCTTGTTAATTTAAAATATTCACTTTCACTCATAGCTGACTCTCCATTGGTTTGTCCATATTTCTCCTAAGTAATAGCTAGTAAATTCAAACCACATGCCTTTGGGTCAACAGTCAACTCCCTACCCTCTAGGCCATCAGTGTTTCTTTTTATATACAATTGAATAGATGTTAGCTACACAGGAAAAGCTGTATAGAGAACAGAACTTTCTGTCAGTATATAATTATTTAAAAACTATGTGGAGTAGGAGTGTGTGTCTGTGTGTGTGTGCGTGTGCGTGTGTGCGTGTGCGTGTGTGTGTGTGTGTGTGTGTGTGTGTGTGTGTGTGTCTGCAGTGGGATATGTAGGAAATTACTGGAAAGAAGTGTTAATTGTAGTTAGCTATCTTTGAACTGTGGAGTTATTTTTACCATCTACTTTTTAAACATATTTTTTCTAAATTTTCCATACTAAACACGTATTATTTTTGCAACAGTTTTTCTAAGGAAAGCTATATTCTTCAGGCAGAACTATCAGACAGAATATTATGTGAGATAAAAAGCTTTGAGGAGTCTTCAGAGGAAGGAGGGGTGAACAAATCCTTTATGATGCAAATCCCGCAGCAAAGGCAGCACTTGTAACACTGGCTGCACATGTCTTCCCTGTGAGCTTTCAGCAAGTGGTCTAGTAGCCTAGTGGATCAATCACCTTGATTTTGTTCATCATCCCTCTGAGGATGTCACAGGAAATATATTAAAAAGAAATTTAATTAGGAAAGATATCTTCTGTGTCCCTACATTCAGGCTAAGCCCCAGAAATGTAGACAATTCCACTAGCATCTTACTAGCATCAGACACACCCAGACTCCAGTGAAATGCCCCTCTGCAAGAGGCAAGAGATTCTAGGGCACTCTAAATGACAGTTCATCCTAAGGTATTCTCAGTACCTATAGCAGTAGTTTAACTTCACTCAGTGAACATGTAAGTTCTGGCTACTTCCTTAGACCAACCATTCATCTGTGAGATTTTCTAAGACTGATCCAAGATCAAGAGTCAATGACACGTGGGCTGTTTCCATGTTCTTGAAGGAAATGGGAAAGATCTTGCATGAAAACAATGTATTCAAACTTTGTAAATAAATCAGCATTTTTTTAAAGTCAATGACAAAAGATAATAAGGCCAAGTTCATCTCTTACTGGGCTTTCTCTTAACATGCCAGTGAGTAAATCTCCAGTAAACTGAACTGAACCTTTAGGCTCAGGACTGCCCTCTGTGAGGAACATCTCATTTCCCGAGTGTCCAAACACAAGTCATTGGTTACTAACATCCTTGCTGTTGTTTTTGCATGTCACAGGGTCAGAATTGACCCATAGCTGATTCTCCACTGGGTTTTCAGAGCTAGTTAATTGCCCATTCTCCTGAGGTGCAACTGGTAGATTCAAACTGCATGACTTCGGGATTGCATCTCAGCTTCTTTCCACTAGGCCATCAGAGCTGCCTATTAACATCCCAGTTGATGCAAATGATTAATGTACTCAGCTATTAGACTAAAGATGGAAGTTAGACTACAACCAGGCACATTTGAAAAGAAAGAATTGGAAATCTACTTCCTAAGAATCAGCCACTGAAAATCCTGAGGAGCACAATTTACTCTGGGTCACATGATTCTGTTTAGTAATGAGCTGCGCCACCAATACAAAGGCGTGCAGTTCAAATCTACCAGCTGCTCTGTGGAAGAAAAATGGACAGTCTTCTCCTGCGTGAGTGCAGCCTCTGAAAACCCCACTGAAGGATCACCTTTTGAGTCAGTTCTGACTTGACAGTACACAATAACAATAGTCAGTTAAATACAATAGAACAGAGCATCCAAAGGCACTTCTAATATGATATAAGACAAGATGATTGGTAGTGTTTCAAGAGGGCTGAGCTTAGGTCAGTTTCCTGTTCTTACATTACATGGAAAAGTGAAAGAAGACCTACACCCATCTCAGCTTTCTGAGAAAACAGTGAGCAATTCTATTGGTAACGTTGTCCAATCACTAGCTTGGAATCATTCTCCTGGAATGTGGGGAGAGGGACTGGAAATCCCTTAACCTGTTTCTATATGGGTGACTAATCTGGAAAAACAAAGACGAGGAGAAGCCTGCAAGCAGAATATGCCATCATCATCAAAATTCTTAGTCATTGCCATGACAGCATTTGATGGCTGGCACACGGGTGAGCATTTCTGGTTGAACTTAATATAACTATGGCTCAATCCAGTAGTGGATCAAATGACCTTGATGTTTTGAATGTCCCCGGTTATTTGAAAATGAAATTAAACTCTTTTTATGTACAAGTAATGAGATCCTGTGTTACTTTTAATTAAACTGACTGATCAATATTTCCTTTAGCAGGCAAATTAAATATTCAACAATCACCCCAAACACGTACCCAGCAGCTGTTATTCTGTAATCCTGAATAGTGTTACTGTTGACATGAATATGAAGTAGCCACTTCCCATAGTGAAGGTGTTTTTGTTGTTGCGTGCAGTTAAGTCAGATAAAGCTCAGCGACCCCATATAGGGGACTGGAATTTTCTCTTAGGGTTTTATAGACTATAATGTTTTCAGAAACAGTTCTTCACGACTTTCCTTTGGAGAGGCTGGACTGGTTTGAACTGGCAAAATTTTTATTAGAGGTTGTTTGTCCTACCTCAACTCAACTCATTGCCGTGGAGTTGGAACCAACTTATACCTGACCCTCTAATGGGTTTTTGAGGCTATAAATCACAAGGGGGGAGATGACTGCCTATCTTTCTCCTGAGGACCCATTAGTGGATTAAAACCAGCAAAGAGGTGCAGTCTTTGGGTGCGTACTACAACTCCCTGCAGACCATGCCATCAGAGCTGGCATTATGCCATCAGCGATTCTTACTAAGTAATATTATTTTGAACATCTGAAAGCATTACCATAACTATGTTCATAGAGGAAAAGATACCTCAGTAGTTAAGAGATGAGATTCCTCAGAATCAGTCAGAAAAGCCTAAGAATTCAGGTTCTACCACGATCTACCCATTGCAAGCCAAGTACCTTAATTTTCACTGAATAGCTGATAATACATCTATAAAATGGGAACAGCAATAATAAAAATTCAGTAAGATTACTGTGAAGATTAAATTAGATGGTTAATAAAATTATTTAGCCCAGTGCCTGGTAGTTAGTACTGGAAGCAGTGTGATTTCCATGAATATGTTCATTAATGTGTGTGTCTGTAAACAAGCTGTCACTGTGAATTGGGTTTTACTTACTTTGCTTTGTTCTTACAGGGACAAGAAACCAAACCAAAATACAAAGAGATCCTCTCTGAACTTGAAGAGTACATAGAAAATAAGTTGGATTTTGAGGATTTTGTGATCTTGCTTCTCAGCATCGTCATAATGTCAGAGTTGCTGCAGAAGATTTGGAATGCAAAAACCACAGAATAAACATTTCCAAAATGAAGTAAGACAAAATAAAGACAAAGTGACAAATATGTCATGAGTTTCTGTCTTTTAATTAATTTAACACAATGACCAAGCACCTAGGATTGCCTGGAATTGTTCTGATTTCTAATCATTTACATCAGTTTTACTCACTACCCCCATACACACAGACACACAGACACACACACGCACATACACCCTCTCCTATGGTTTAACTTTCAATCAAACAAAGCTGTTGTTGTTTTTGCCTTTGAGTCAGAACAAACTCATAGTTGACCCTCCAGTGGGTTTTCAGTCTGTAAATCACACAGGAAGAGATGGTCCATCTTTCTTCCTCAAAGCAGTCGGTGGCTTCAAACCACTTGCCTTTGGTTTGGCAGTGCAAATCCTCAATCACTAGACCACCAAAGCTCCCTGCAAACAAACAATAGACAGGCCTATAAAGTTGCCAGTAACACCAAGAAGGCATCGCTTCCTTAGAATAGCTATTCATATGAGGTCATAAGATTATCATTTGCTCAAGGATAAAGCCCAGAAAGCAGGAAGAGATAGACTAGAAGGATTAGTGGAAATGAGAATTACATGGAAGCAGGATGAAATTGCATTATGAATATTGTAATCATTGCTATAAAACAAAATGTGTTTGATTCAAAAGTAATTTGCTTTGTAAACTTTCACTCAATAAAAAGAAAACTGTTTTAAAAAGTCAATATTTTGCCAAAAATTTACTTGGCTTTTCCGGGAAATGTTGACTAGTAAGAACTCTGGGTGTTTCATACATATTATAAGACTTTATACCATAAAACATCAGACTGTTTTTGCCACATAAATAGCTGCTTAGAGTGCTCTTCTTGGTGTCATTCAATTACTAATTAAGTAATTCAATAATTGTATTTGTGGAGTACTTCATGAAGGACGCTTTAGGGATATTGTAAAGACCCCACTAGACAAACCAGGGTTTCTACATAAGTTAAAGCCAGCAGAAGAGATGGAGGTTGTATGTTTTATTAATTTGTCATTTATAAAGTGTAGTATGTTGACGTCAGTGAGACTGGCTCAGGACAGGCAGTCTTCAGAGCTGTTGTACAGAGAGTCACTATGAGTTATTGGTGACTTGATGGCACAACAACAGCAGCGACATGACTATAATTGTAATAAGAGCTGCAGGATCTTAAGGAGCTTATCCCTGGACCTGAGTTAAGATCACAGATGTTTGAATGCCATTATGTAAAATGCAAGACCGTAGGAAAGAAGAGTAGACCCCTGACTGCTATGAACAGTCTCCAGGGAAAGGTGAAGTTGTCCAAAAATGGGCACAAGGGAACTTTGGGGAGGATGGAAATATTCTCAGTCTTGCTATGGTAAGGTTTATAGAACTGTATGTTGTTGTTTTTGTTGTTAAGTGCCAATGAGTTGTAGGAGACTCATAGCGACCCAATGAACAAAAGTTCTCAAACCTTGTGTGACTTTTGTCCTTTCTCCAGGTTCGTAGGTTTTCCCGAGTTAAGCTATTATGGAAGTGGATGCCACTCCTGCTTCCAAGCTTGTTTTAATCCGGGAGCTCCACCAAACACTGCCCACCATGGGTAACCATTATCACATTTGACTCATCAGCATCACAGTGTTCAGCTTCACAGCAACCACAAGTTACCCCTGTACGGCAAGTGGACACCAGGGCTACACAACCTAGAAGAATGTTTGAACAAAAACAATGAGAAATAGGCCTTGGGGCAGTGGATTAAAAGTCACCCACCTTTGGCTTGGTAGCATCACCTTCTGTCCACTAGGCCAACTGATCACTCTCTATGTTGATGTTAGAACTGTATACATTTGTGAAATGTTTGTAAACCAAACCAAAAGTCAAACCTACTTAGAAATGTATGCTAAAAAAAATTAATGTAAACTTCTCTGTAGGAGACAGCTTGCAGCTCTTTCAGGCATAGGATACTCATGCAGTGTCCCCATTGCTGATGTAGCTTCAGTTATTTCTGTGAAAGCTTAAGAAATATTCAAAGACATCTCAGAAATTGCACTGTCCTCAGAAGGGAGGTTCTGATAGTTTGAGTTGAGGTAAAGGCTACTCTTGATGCAAATATGTAACTAAATATGACTTTTGAAACCCCCAAAACAATATCTTTATAATCTCTAGCTATACTTTAACTAAAAACCCTTTGAGATTATGATCTAAAAGTGGCCACATAGCAAGACATCGCCAATGGCATTCCTAAGTTGAATTTCTATAAATATGAAGTTGTTTGTCATTGAATTGATCACAACTCAAAAGCCACTATTATGGAGGACAACTGCTTCATAGGGTTTCCTGGACCGTAATTTTCACAGGGGAAGATAATTGGGCCTTTTCTGCCTCATGGTGGTGGTGGCTGGTGACCTTGATAGGTCAACTTTTTGGTTCACAGCCAAAAGTTTAACCAATGCATTATCAGAGCGTCTAAGCATAATATATACATATGTTTGTGTGGGCAATATACCAACATACGTAGAGGATTTTCAATAATATTAGTCATTCTTCACAACTTAGGAGTCAAGATCCTGGTCAATGTCTAAATCTTTGGTACTGACTAACTTTCACAAAGACATTTTATCCATTGTAAAATAAATATGTAATTATTGTTTGCTGTTGAAAAGTCACAAGTCCCCTCCTGCATTTTCCATTCTCTTCCTGGTCCAACAGGGTCAATCTCACCTATTTCAGGAGAGAGCCCCTCACCCCTGGTGGATGAAGCATTATCTCATCCTGTAATGTCCCAAAGAGACCACGACTCAACACTTCGGTCCTCCCTTCTTGCCAAATCTCACAGTTTCTAAATCTAAAACATTATATAAAACATAAGGGAGAGTCCCAAGCTTTTCTCTCCTATACCATTTAACTGGAAGCAGACGTGTTTAGCAGAGGCATTCAAACAGAATTATTTGACAAAAGAAAACCAGTGATAGGAGGAGGTGAGATTAAAGGATATTCATTATGTTAAGCTTTCAAAGTCTTCCTTGTAAGAGCTGTTTCCTAGAATTGATTGGGCATGTGGGAAGGAAGAACAATAGGGCAACATTTCTTTCTTATTTTTTTAGGCAAATTAAAATAAACCCAGGGTCAATACTATGTAGGATTCAGAAATACTAACTCTTTTAACTCTCTCCTGTGAAGTAGATACTATAATTGGTTTCATTCTCCAGATGAGGAAACTGAAACCCGAGGATATGGACTTGCTCAATGGCACAGCTAGCAGGTTTGAGAGTTTTCTTTCCTCTCCAAAAACCTTGTTATTATCCTTCTTTTAAATATATATATATATATATCAGATTCTGTTGTAAGCAATTATATTATAACTCAACAAATATAGCTGTACACATTCCAGGCACTGTGCAAGAGAGAAGTACCAGCTGGGTCCAGGAGTACCATTTGGCATTCTTCAAATAGAACTCTGTGGGCTGCTCCTCCTCAAAGCCCTTTGGGTCTCACTTATAAGTAGCTGAATATGGCAACCTTGGTGACCAAAGAAAAGGTCAAATTCACACCTTTCTGTGAAGAAAAGAGGCTCTTGCCAATGATGTGATGAGGAGTCTTGGAGCCATTCCAACCTGGTGGGCTCCCAGTAAGACTTTTTGAAAAATCCATTCCAGATGGGAAAATCACAGCTCCTCTCTGGGGAATATCAATTATAGAATCTCTCCTCTCCTCTCCTCTCCTCTCCTCTCCTCTCCCCTCC